TAGGTGTTTAGGAGGCCTAGGGATGGTTAACGAGGCTAATGAGTTGTTCGATCAAGTTAAGGAATTGGGTTGTATTCCAAATAATTATAGCTATAATTCACTATTGGAAGCTATTTCTAAGTCAAGGTTTGTAGAACGTTTTTTCAACAGAGTTGTAGGTGGGATTGTGATCATGTTTTTTCTTGAGAATTGACATGAAGAAGATAAAAAGAATCACGAATTCCAATTCTGTTGGAATGGAATCATGAATTCCAATTCTGTTGGAATCTAAACTACAATTTGGTTTTGTTTTGACAGAAGTTGATACTTGAAGAACGGACCGCAAATTTCAAAGTGATTCTAAGCATTCTCAGAGAATATTAATCTTATATGATTTGATTCATGACAGTTATTTTCGTTAAATGTCTAATTTCATGGATGATCAAGGAAAGAGTTATTCTTCTGATAGAATAATCTACAATAGAATGATAGGAGTATATGTAATAATATATTCTGCTAGAATATTCAGGTCGAATAATATACATATTTTTATTTGTTAATAGTGGGTATTTCATTGTCATAGAATATTATATAAAGTTTTTACCTTTTTAAGAATGTAATGAAGAATTTGAAGTTGTATCCAAAAATGTGTTATTAGTCGGTGTTGGCATTCTCATAGAATATCATTATAATAGAAATATGTATCCTGAAATTTGTAGAGAATATGATTCTAACAGAATAAAATCGGGTTTAATTATAAAAATTACGTTATAATTAAAATTAAAGTAATTTAAAAAATTAGAATTTTAAAATCAAGAGAGTTAATTATCCCAAAAAAATATGGAATTTTCCTATTTTAAATTTATCTCAATTGTCTAAAATACCCTTAGAATGAAATTAGATGGTATTTTTCAATTATCTTTAATTTAATAATATATATTAATCACTTTCTTAAATTAAGTAAAATGATTGGTTCACATTTATGCATACAATAACACAATAATTAGTTTAAATACAATAACCTAAGCCTATATATATATATATATATATATATATATATATATATATATATATATATATATATATAACACTCACATTATCATAATAGACAATAGTAGCCCGATAAGGTGAGTTATGAAGCTCAAGTAATAAATTTCATAACCAACATGTTTCTGCAACAATATTTGCAACACCTTGATATTCTACTTCCACACTAGAACGAGAGATTGTATGTTGGCATTTTAAGGACCACAAAAGAAAATTATGTCCTAAAAAGACATAGTATCCGAAAGTCGAATGTTCGGTAACCGGACATCCCCTCCCCTCCCATCCCCCCCACCCCACAGTCAACATCAGAGTATGCAATGAGATCACAGGAAGGCAAACTATATAGTTAAAGGCCGTGAGAAGAGGTACCTTTAATGTTGCGAAGAATGCATTTGAGAGCAGATAAATGGGGCTTACGAGGATCACACATGTACATGCATATATGTTGAACAAAATATGTAATATCTGGTATTTTAAAGTGAGATACTGAAGCACAACTGCTAAGCTACAATACATGGTTGAAGCAGCAACAAGAGAACTAGAACCATCCAACTTGGTATAAAAATCGGTTGGGATACGAACATGCTTAAAATTAAGCATGGAAGCACGATCTAAAATGTCAAGAGCATATTTTTGTTGAGAGAAAAATAAGCCCGGATCACTCCTGGTGACAGATATACCCAGAAAGTAGTGAAGGTTACCTAGATCAGACATAAAGAACTCACGACCGAGATTGCAGATGATGCTTGTCAGAAAAGGAGACGAAGATCCAACAAGAACTATATCATCCATATATAGCAATAAGTATGCAATGTAACCTTCATGTCTATAAATAAAAAGTGATAAGTCACACTTGCTATAAAAAAACCAATACTTGAGAGAAACTGAGCAAATCACTAAAACCATGCACAAGGTTGCCTGTTTTAGACCATAGAGAGATGTCTGAAGTAAACAGACATGATTCAGTCTAGAATGGTCTGTGAACCTATGAGGTTGTTGCATATAAACTGTTTCTTGGAAATGACCATGGAGAAACACATTATTTACATCAAGCTGACTGATGGGCCACTGATGAGTGACAATAATACTAATAATAGTGTGTATGGAGGACGACTTTACAATGGGATTAAATGCCTCATCACAATCAATTTCAAGTATTTGAATTTTACCATTAGCTATAAGACGAGTGTTGTAACAGGATAAAGTGCCATCTGTATTGGTTTTCTTTTTAAACAACCAAATACAACTTATCACATTAGCAGTATGAGGCCGAGGTACAATCACCCACGTCTTAGTAGATATAAGAGTAGAAAATTCATCAGTCAAGGCATTTAGCAAGTTAGGATCCTTAAAGGCTTGAGAGTCTGTTTTAGGAACAAGATAAGAAGAATCAACATGGAGATTCACTTTTTCCAATGGCTTAAAATGCCATTTTTAGCACGAGTTTGCATAGGATGAATGGAAGAAGATGGGGTTGTGGTGTTGATGGAAGGGGAGATATTTGTAGTTGGATAGGAGACAGTAGATGTTGGAGTATCTAAAGAAATATTTGGAGCAGATGAGATCGAAGGAGAGGTAGTCTTGAGAGGAGAAGCAACCTTGGATGAGAAAGGGTTAGAGGAGGGAGATGAGGTATTGTTTTTGGCAGTAGGGGTGGGAAGAGGTGTAGAAAAGGGTGTAGCAGTAGTAGTGGGTGTAGGTGTAGGATGCAAAATGATATGCATAGGAAATGTGGTAATATGATCAATAAATATGTATGAAGGAGACGAGTCAGGGGACATAGAACTTAAAGGAAAATTTGACTCGTCAAACACGACATGGCGATATATAATAATAGTATTGGTGTGAAAGTTAAGACAACGCCCCTTGTATTTTAAACTTTTAAAATACTTGATGGTTTAATCTATTAATAAATTATACTCTTAATTTAATTAAACTTAAACCATATGCTTATGAACTTAATAATACTCTTTTAATCAAACATTTAATTAACTATTAATAAAGTCCATAAGAGTTAATTGAACTATTAAAAAAAATCAAGATGCTAAATGAAATTAGAACTATTTAATTAATTTTAATTTATGAACCCATGAGTTACATTTTGAAAACTTTTCAAATTACTAGGGTTTCTATGAATTCAATGTTTCTTAATTGAGACTTTTTAACTTTTAAAACTTGAGGGCAAGTTTTGTAATTCTTAAAAAACTTTTGAACTCCATAACATAAGGAGTTAATTTGTTTTATGAAGATGAGAGTTTTCAAGTCTCATAACTTATGGAACTCTTTAAAAACATTAAGATCAATTTAACTAATATTTATTTGTAACTCTTTAAAAAAACTTTTGATTTCCAAATTTGATGACAAAAATTGTAACTCCTTAAAAACATTTAGATCAAACTTTAAACTAATAAAACAATCTTATCATTTTATCTTTTGCCAATTTGATCACAATATGATTCTTATAGTAAGATAATTTCAAATAAAAAATTACAAATAATTAGCTTTATCATATAAACTAGTAATTATCTTAAAATTTGACAATTTATCTTTTAATTGGATGAGAATAATCACTACCATATCAGAAAACAATTTTATGAAACAAAACAGTTTGTGGTAATGATTCTAATCCAATTAAGGCCAAAAAAACCCCGAAAAACTACCAACAGATGATCCAACTCGTCGAGTTGGATAACGGACTCAATGAGTTCATCACTTATGAGCATGGACTCGACGAGTTCATGTATGGACTCGTCAAGTCCTCCTATCAGAGTGCAGTTTTTCGACTTTTCCAACTTTAAACAATTAGATATGCATCTATATAACCGAAAACTACCCATGGATCTTGATGAGATTTGTAATCGAGTTTGAATCAAATTCAAGTATGAATTCAGGAAGAGTAATAACGATGAATAAAAGAGTAAATAGAATATTTGTTTAGCTCGTATTATGCTTTTGAGTTTACAGATTACAATCACTAAACTGTAAAGACTGAGTGAAAATCTTATCTAATCACTTAGTACAGACCCCTATTTATAGGAGAACAAAATCATAACAATACTAAGGACTAGACATTAAGACTACTCTTTATAATGCCTTATTACAAATAACATTACATCCGAAGACTCCTTCTTACGAAGACAAAATATACTTCATAACAATCTAACTGACTCTTCGACTATTACAACATTTAAGCCCTAACAGATATGATACCACTGTTGGGTTTTGTGTACTATAACACTCCTATGGTGCACATACAACCCTAATAGCTTTGGATCTAAGTTTTCTCGAGTTATACATGCAACAAAAATTTCCAAAGCTTGAAACCTACAACTAGCATACAATTTGACATATGAATAATAAAAGTAAGTTAAAAGATTACCTCTTTGTTGTAGCTTGTAGGATTTGGTCTTTCAAGAGCCTAGCACCTCAAGTGTGATGCATCAAATTTCTTATAACAAACCAAGAACAAGAGGATGAATTTGATAGAGAAGTAAGGAGACATAAAATTGGTTATAATCTCTTAGACTCATTGGGGCGATTTTAGCAAGCTATGGATCATATTTATAGTTTGGAATCCTTAAGGTTTAAACTTGTAAACTTTAATTCACTTGGGATTTTAATCCATTAACTTATTAGCCTTATGGACTAAATCTTTATGAATCCTCATAAAGATTTAGTCCATTTCTAATCAACATGAATCATTAGCCCAAACTATAAATATTATTGATTTACCTAATCAGTCCCTACAAATTTAATTAGTCTCTTTTGATCAATAAATTAATTCCAAATTAATTCTTGATCAATAATAATTAAATAATATGATTTCTCATTTAATATATTATACTTATAATATATTAATAAATCACAAATAACCTCTTTCTCGAATATATATCCTATCAAATTGTTCCAGAGTGTTAGAACCCAAATGGACCATGATGTATTTGGTTAAATACATACCAATTATACTTATGGACTTAGACACTTAATCCAATAGCATTCACCAGATAAGATAGACCATCGTTTGGGTAGTCGTGAGTATGAAGGAGGATTTGCTCGTGTCTTGGGCAAGGAGGTCTATTGGGGTCCGATGCAATGTTGGGCATGTGTAGCACTTGATGGGATGAGACCCGTGTAATTATGACAATGCAAGTGAGACCTGGTGGGGACCTACAGTGTCAAGGAATTAGATTATGGTTTCAATATGATAATTATGTGTCCAGGGAGTGGCATAGTTGGGTGCATAGGCTAGTGTAGCCTTATCGGTTAAAATCTCAGGAACCTAGTGGTTGGACCAGGTGTACGACTGGTAAAGACAATAGTGGATTAGGGATTTTATATCCCAAATTTGTGAATGGATATAGAGAATCTAAAGGTTTTAGGTGAAATGCAAGTGTAAATCCTGGGATCTTCATTTATGAGTTATGCACCGAGTTTGCTTTCGGTATGGACTTGTGATGGGAGTCGTTAGTGTGTTATTCAGAATCTTTACTTCAGCAAGTTATGGATTAAGGAATCTATATGTCGGGTTATCAGTTGGAAGATTTAGGGTTAAAAGGGTGTTTTCAATTATAAGGATATGAGGAGACCCTTGTGCCAGTGTTTTGGTTTGGTACTACCTGTGTGGAGTTCAGACATGTTATAGGGCTTTAGAATTATGGAAGTAGCGTTTTGGATCTATAGCTATGGGATCAGTGATTTGCTCAGCACTAGAAGGTTTTAATCAGAGCACTGGTTTTCAGGAGGGTGGTAAGGAGTGATTTCGAGGATGAAATTTAATTTAAGTGGGGGAGAACTGTAATGCCCTATTCCGAATATTTTCTTAATGTGGGGTGGTGAACCGAAGACCGAGTATCATTAGGCTTAGTGCCTTTAGGGGAAAGAGATTTAGAACCATTTGGGTGTGGGTAATGTAATTTGGATGATTCTAGAGTTTGGTTTGTGTTTTGGAGCCAAATGGGTATTTCGGTAAAGTGTCAGTCCGAGCTTTTATGGAAATTGGAATTTTGTTCGGAAAGTTATAGGGAGAATATCAATCGATAAAAATGTAGAGATTTTCATTACCTCTTCGTGGATATAAGGATCACCAGACTTATAACGAAGAAGTTATGGAATTCAAAGATTTGGTGATTTTAGGGTTTAATCGAGTATGTGGGGCGTACACATTTGTACGTATGGCATACTAGTAAGGAGGTCAGTAAGTTGGTCGTCTAATGGTGTATGTTGGGCGTACTATGAGAATGATCATGGGAGCTCTAGGGAGTATGTTGGGCGTACTCTAGTCAGACCCAAACCCTAATTTAGGGTCTTGGACCCTATTTAAGCTCCTTAACTCACCACCAAACCCTATTAGCTTCAGCCTCCATCCCCCAAAACCCTCGAAACAAATCCCTAGCCCCCATTTGTGTGTTATTTGAGCTTTTGGTGGTATTTCATGATTTTTGGTGCTCATAGAACAAGAAGGAACTTTGATGTGCACAAAAGTACCCATTAATTTTAATATTTATAACCTAACAAACTTAGACTAACTATGCACTTATAGGCAGTGTACCTAGTCAGATTACAGTATAGCTTAGGTAAGTCGGGTGTCGATCACAGGGAACGGTGGATTAATTTAATATATCTGATTATAGGTCACACGAAAAGAATAAAAGACATAATTTAATAAACCTCAAACTAATAATTAATTACCCATCCTCGATAAACTAACAGGAAAACAAATCTCTTTAGGTATTTGGTTTAGACTAATTCCACCTTGAAAACATAAACAATTGCATACACAAATTCATTTATTCATGTTCACCGATTCCTAAATTGATTAGATTCATGTTCACTATAACTAATCCTTTAGCAAACAAGTTAATTCAAACAGTGATCAATTGATTAAACTAACATGCTTCCTAGTGTTCAGTTCGTATCAAGCAAGACTTGTAAATTTAGTTAATTTAAACATTTAATTAACCTCTTGTTGATGGTCATCAAACAAGGCTCACACATTAACTTACTTATTCCCAAGTTAATCCTAGTTTCACATTCGTTATTTCTAGTCTTATAATCTCAATGGTCATCAAAAATCATAAGAGACAAGCAAATCAAGCAGGTTTTCATACAACTTAATTCACTTAACAATTAACAGCAAATAATCATCATTAACACATGAAGATCTTTGAACAAGCTTGGCAAGATAAATTAAACACAAATAAATTATTTAACATAACAATTAGTCTAAGAATCAAAACTTCATTCAATCGTAAACACAAAGTAAAAGGTTTTTACACCCAAATCAGAAACTAAATACAAAAAGTACCATAAGGAAGTGCTAAACATGGTCACGTTAGCAATCCATATGATTACCGACATGTATCCGCTCTCCAATCCTTCAGATCTCTGCTCCCGTTAGCTTAACGGCCTTCCGGCCGCCTTCTAGACCCTCAAAACGGCTTAACAGAAGTTAATTGTCGACTAAATTAGGTTAGAAGTCGAATCCCCCCTCCTGGTTAGCTAAAAATCGACATTTATAATCTTTGTGGCCGACCTAAGTACGCTGGGCGTACTTAGGATTACGCAGCGCGTACTCTGGATAATCACGCGATCAAGTCTATCCGGTGCAAGCATGTACGCGGGGCGTAACCTTAAGGTACGCGGGGTGTACTCGCTACCTCAGCATTCTTTTCTTTCTTTCAGCTTCTAAGCCCGGTTTCCGCTTCAATCTTTTCTTTTGTGCTTTATCGACAACAAATAGCTACAAAACATAATTCAAAGTATTATGAGTACTCTTTAGTTCTAAAATAGAATAAATAAGGCCAAAATATTAAGATAAAGTGCATAAAAATATATATAAAAATACACATATCAAAATACCCCACACTTAGCCTTTGCTTGCCCCCAAGCAAATTTACTTTTATTTTACCAATATCGCACTAAACAATCCATTTAAAACTCAACCATTATACCAAGACCTCAACGCATGCATTTGTGTCTAAAATTTTCCTAAGTACCCCCCCATACTTTAAATACTCACAATCTTCATAAACACTTGCCCACTTTTTCCGAACAATGCTCATTTTATGCAACCCTCCAAATCCATCCGCAGAAAACCTCCTAACCTCAAGGTATTTTTAGTTGAGCAACCTAAGCATACATAATCTAGAATTACAATTTTCCGATACCACTATGGAGCTTTCTTTGAATTCTTCATTTCTCTGACATTTTGATCTTCGATTTCTTTGAATTCAACACCTTATTTGAATTGATTTCTGGTATCTTCAACTTTTTGGATTTCTTCAGAATTTTGATATTTTGATCTTCACTTTATTTGCTCCAGAATTCTTCAAACTTTTTCGTAATTCTCTTTTTTTTTTTACATGTACCTCTCTTTTTTCACTCAAAACCTACATGCTTAAGCAGAGGCGCTCAACCTCAACCTTTATTGGTTAATGATAATAATTTTCCTGGATACATTTCAGGTTTAGGCTGCTAAACATATTGCATCCTTCAAACTGAGCGGGGTTATGTTTTTGTTCCATGATTTCACTAAAATAAGGGAAGCCACAAATGCACTATAACGTATATTGGCTCAACTAAACATTTGAGTTCTCATCGGATCATCTCATACAATATTAGCAAAATTTTCAATTATCACTAGATTTTTCTAAATTAAACTATTATTTCAAGTTTTCTTTTAAATTTTTGAATTTCCCTAAATCTAGCAATTTCCAACTATTATTTCATTTTTATAATTTACTTACTATTATTTCATTTTTATAATTTACTTTTACCGACCCCCTACCCCACACTTATTTCATACAACGCCCTCATTGTATGCTAAAAACAAATTAAGAACATAAAAAAGGAGAAAAAGGAACAGACTCCCCTGGGTAGTTGTGGCGAGATCGAATGGGGCTGCTACAGGTTGCTTCAAATATTGCTGAAAAACTGAAAACTAGAACTGCTGCTTCTAAATTTTCCGAAAAATAAAATCAAGACCGCCATCTTCGAAAATGTGGTGCAAAATATTGCAATTAGATGCAATGTATAATAACCATGACGTGTGAAAGTGTCAACCACGTCGTGGCAGTCGGAACGATATTTCTTCCTTGCATCGAAATACAATTCCAATAAAGATGCACCCCACACTTATGACAAATTGTGGGTCTTGACTATAACCTTCGCACTCTCACATGGCTCTCTCTAGCAACAGTCGGACCTAGCTGCTGAACTTACTGCCAGCTTCCTAAGGGCGAATATTCTGCATAAATCTAAACAACCATAGAGCATTAACATGGAAAACAAAAGTAAAACAAACTAAATCAAAGTTTAATTACAGACCAAATACTACTAAACTAAAAATAACACAAAACAAATAAACAAAATCAAAAGGATCACTCGTCATCTCCATCATCATGTGGCTGTGTCCCAGAAGTACCGGCCCCATCAAATCATGACTGGAATGGTGGTGGAAAGGGAACCGAATACTGAAATCCCTGATGGGCAAAGAATGCATTCAATGCATTCCCTTGCCACCGCTGTTGCGCGTCCACATGTGCAACATACTCGCTAAGGTTCTGGACCCTCATGTCATGACGATCAATTCCCTGAGCTAAGTAGCGCATATCGATCTCCGGATCAGGTCCCTGCTGCGCTCCCCGAGGAGCAGGTCTACGCCGCGGGACCCGTCTCGGCTGTGGCTCAGTGGCACCCTCCTCATCCGCCACATCATCTGCTCGAACCCTCAAAACACCATCTCCACCCCACTCTAATACGCGCATCAACTCCAATAGCTGAAGACTCATCGGCCTCATGTCGTGAAACACCATCGATCTCGTGATCTCACGTGTTATCAACTGATATGATTGAGCTAATCGTGTGATAAAATGCCCTCCGCATATCGGGCTATCTCCCCGAAGTCCCCTGGCCCTCCGTCCCAAGTATGCAGCTAAAGCAACTGGAAGGTTCAGGTGCCTCCCTGGAGTAACTAGTGCCCATAGGAAATACAGGTCCGTCGAAGGCACTCTCTCGCTATTCTTGTGATGCATGAGAGACATAGAAATCAACCGGTGCAACATTCGGTATGTAGTAGACCGAATCATCCCCCCTCGAGCGGTAGATGGTGTATAAACTCCTCCCGTAATCTCGGCCCAAAAGGTGTTCTCATTATAGTCCTCCGGTCGGTCCGTGAGACAGTCAGCAAGGAATGTCGGGAAGTGGACACTCCTCGTCTCGTCGGCTGTGTAAATACCCACCCGAGTCGCAAGCTCTATCACGCTGCATTCCCGGCTCACTCCTCCCAGTCTGAAAGCAAAGGCTGTCCTGTCATCGAGTGCCTTCCTAGGATCATAGGAAACTGTAGCATAGAACTCCATCAAAAACTCCCGATATACTGGCTCCTGGATCCTGAACAAACGCGCCCATCCCTGACACACAAACAATTCCACACCACTCGCGTCCGAGTGTGTGTATTGCAAAAATTCCTGGATCAATGCAACAAGTCCAGTCCTGGTAGCCAACTCCCAGTCGAAAGAGGGTGCAATATCAATCTCCTTTGTGAGAAGCAGGCTCAAGTTGGTGCTATAACGCGCCCTGGTAGCATCGCTTAGTGTTTGCGGAAATTGTAAAAAGCGATGATCGGTCACATCCTCGGGAGGGTTGGTTCTTTGTGCCCTTCGAGCCATAATCTGCACATATTAACACAAAAACACAAAACCAACAAAATATGGCAGCATTAATAGATTTTTAAACCAAAAAAAAAATGGGGCTGGATAGGGGCAGTACGCTGGCGGTACATCCAGCGTACGCTAGGCGTACGTCCAGGCTTGCGATTCTGTGTCCTCCCAGTCCCTTTCTTGTGCTAAGGTCATAATCCATATCTAAATAAACACCGCAGGGCATCAACACAATTAATTTTTAAACATCGCGTGGTCCAAAGGTAGTAGGAGAAAAATCGGGACCTCCCTAAAAATATGAATCAATCTCTGTAAATTCTTTATCTATTAGAAAACATTTATAAGGGAAACATTCATAACGGTCAAAAATCAAAGTCAGTCAAGAACTCGAAATCACAGGGGTACGGTTTGCGTATGACCCCAAGCTCAAATCGATGGGTGTGGGACGGAATTAAGACGAAATTAGGTTCGAGGGTTTAATGTATTAACCGAAATCGGTCCATTCAAGCCCTAATCAACACATACATTTGCGAAATCGGCCCTAATTTGAGAAATATATAAACCCTAGATTTCAAACAAAAGCTAATTGCAGCTTATTCCTTCGAATTAAACACAAATCCATAACATAGAGTGACCGAAAAAGCTTACTTGAGTGTCGAATTCAACAAGAACGAAGCACAATCGGAAGTTTTGGAGAGAGTCGCCGTCACAGCTTTTGCGAGAAAGGAATTGGGTTTGAAAATAATAGCGAAGTCAAAGGGGTCAAGAGGTATACCTGGTCGCCGATGTACGCAGGGCGTAACACAAGGGTACGTGGGGCGTAACCCCAACACCCTGAGATGTTCATCCGCGATTCGGGTCTTATTATGCATGGTGTAATCCTACTTATTACGTGGGGCGTAAGTTTAAATGAAAATTTCCCTTTCTTCTTTTAATTGAATTTCCTTTTCTTTTTAATCATTTCATCTAGGGACTTAAAACTTATTTATTTTTTTTCTTTTTTAATTTCTTAAGCTAATGATGACTTCACGATGAGTGATAAAAAAAAATTAAGATGTCATAGTCACTTATCTTTGTCAAGATCAAACAACAATGGTTGATCAAAAACCTTTGCATGCAAGAATTGGTTTGCGAAAACACCCACTTTCGGGACCCGTTAGAATATTTCCTTTGTTTTCCTTGTACCTTTAACTAGAAGCGGAACAAGAAGTGACCTAACTAGTCAAGAACAACAAGAGCTCGGTCTTCCACTTAACCACCACAATACGCCTTGCTATACTACGCCTCATGGATTGAGTTGGACAAATCAACAAAGTAGTAGGCTAAGCAGGTCAAGAATTCCCTAATCGCTTTCATTCTCGAAATCCATGCAAAAAGTAAAGTCAAGCAATGTGTACAATCCCAAATTCCTGCAAATAAAAACAAGAACCTTCCCGGCAAGTGAAAAGATATCATCGAAAATCAAACTAAAAAAATGAAAACTAACTAAAAACAAATAACGAATAATCAAATAAAATAAATTAATGACAAGCCGTTCCCCGGCAACGGCGCCAAAAACTTGATGTGCACAAAAGTACCCATTAATTTTAATATTTATAACCTAACAAACTTAGACTAACTATGCACTTATAGGCAGTGTACCTAGTCAGATTACAGTATAGCTTAGGTAAGTCGGGTGTCGATCACAGGAAACGGTGGATTAATTTAATATATCTGATTATAGGTCACATGAAAAGAATAAAAGACATAATTTAATAAACCTCAAACTAATAATTAATTACCCATCCTCGATAAACTAACAGGAAAACAAATCTCTTTAGGTACTTTGGTTTAGACTAATTCCACCTTGAAAACATAAACAATTGCATACACAAATTCATTTATTCATGTTCACCGATTCCTAAATTGATTAGATTCATGTTCACTATAACTAATCCTTTAGCAAACAAGTTAATTCAAACAGTGATCAATTGATTAAACTAACATGCTTCCTAGTGTTCAGTTCGTATCAAGCAAGACTTGTAAATTTAGTTAATTTAAACATTTAATTAACCTCTTGTTGATGGTCATCAAACAAGGCTCACACATTAACTTACTTATTCCCAAGTTAATCCTAGTTTCACATTCGTTATTTCTAGTCTTATAATCTCAATGGTCATCAAAAATCATAAGAGACAAGCAAATCAAGCAGGTTTTCATACAACTTAATTCACTTAACAATTAACAGCAAATAATCATCATTAACACATGAGGATCTTTGAACAAGCTTGGCAAGATAAATTAAACACAAATAAATTATTTAACATAACAATTAGTCTAAGAATCAAAACTTCATTCAATCGTAAACACAAAGTAAAAGGTTTTTACACCCAAATCAGAAACTAAATACAAAAAGTACCATAAGGAAGTGCTAAACATGGTCACGTTAGCAATCCATATGATTACCGACATGTATCCGCTCTCCAATCCTTCAGATCTCTGCTCCCGTTAGCTTAACGGCCTTCCGGCCGCCTTCTAGACCCTCAAAACGGCTTAACAGAAGTTAATTGTCGACTAAATTAGGTTAGAAGTCAAATCCCCCCTCCTGGTTAGCTAAAAATCGACATTTATAATCTTCGTGGCCGACCTAAGTACACTGGGCGTACTTAGGATTACGCAGCGCGTACTCTGGATAATCACGCGATTAAGTCTATCCGGTGCAAGCATGTACGCGGGGCGTAACCTTAAGGTACGCGGGGCGTACTCGCTACCTCAGCATTCTTTTCTTTCTTTCAGCTTCTAAGCCCGGTTTCCGCTTCAATCTTTTCTTTTGTGCTTTATCGACAACAAATAGCTGCAAAACATAATTCAAATTATTATGAGTACTCTTTAGTTCTAAAATAGAATAAATAAGGCCAAAATATTAAGATAAAGTGCATAAAAATATATATAAAAATACACATATCAAACTTCTTGGATAAGTGTGGGATTGCTTTAAGCTTTTTGATCCTATCTTGTTGCATCGTGATCTACATTTTGGAGGTATAAAGTTTCTATCTTGATGAATCTATGTGTTAGATCTGGTTTGAGGTGTATTTTAGGTTCATTTTGGTCCTTAGAGTCATCCTTGTGAGTATGAGCTAATCCAAGAGCTTAGAATGATGGATCTTGGCCTTTGGGAGGTCCCTTGTTCATAGAAATGTCTTTTTGGTGAGTTATCTTGGACCATGAATGAGTTGGATGTTTATTATGGATGTTATTATGGATTTTGGTCCCATTAAACCATGTAAAGGAGTAAAGCTGACAACTTTACGTGTTAAGATATCACATTAGGGTCATATCTTAGTTTGGAAGGCATTATCTTAACCATTAAGATCTTAATATGGATTAGGGTCATATCTTAGTTTTGGTCCCTTGCTCAGCGTAATGAAGTTTTTGTGCATTAGCCGTTTGTAATCAGTGCTTTATAGGTGAGTATGTTGTGCGTACAATTCTGGTACGTGGAGCGTACTCCCCAGTTTGCCATTTTGGGCTTTTTGAGACTTGGGCCTTGTTGGGACATTGGACTTTGGACTTTGGGATGTGGATGGACTTAGGGTTTTCTTAGAAGTAGGTCCATGATGGTTTTGGGGCCTAATCAGGTTATTGGGCCATAATGGGCTTTTATTGCTTTTGATTTGGGCTTTAGATTTCCATTTTAGGTTTTGGGCTTTTTATGCATTTTGGGCTTGGCCTTGGTTATGCAACAACAAAAAAAGGTAAAATGGTAATTTGCCCTTTAGGAAGTTAGTTTATGGAGTGGGCCTTGGATTTTGGAAACAATGGTTCTATAAACACTTTTTAGGAATATAGGAGCAATCATTTCTTTGGCTGCCGGCAACAAGTTCAATTTCTCAAAGTATGTTCTTGATGAATTCCTGGCGAACATTTGCGCCATGACTCGGGGAATTAGAGACGTGTTTTTGATGTATCCAAGATTTATTCAACTTTTTTTATTGATGACCAATTCCCTGATATGGTCAAAGTTGGTGATAAGATGGATTCAAAATATTTGGGCCCTCACACTGTTGGCCTTATCAAACATAATCGAAAGGGCAAGGTCGTGTTTCAAGGTCTGCATCCTCTGGTGAAGTTCGGACAGTTTGCAGAAATTAATGAGTCTTCTGAATCTCATGGAACTTCTGAGAAAACTCTATATGAGCCAACTTCATCAGAAAGAGTGTCTTATGAATTCATCATCATTGTCTCAGATCACGAAGACAATGAGACTCCAGATCCAAAATCTCAAGTCGATAACGAACACGAATTACAATATGTTCAAGTACAGTGTAATTACAACGAGGGAACGGGAAACGATGATAAAGGGTTTGAGGATGTTGACCTCACGGGATATGATAAGGATGATATCCCATTGAATTTTGGTAGCAATGATGATTTTCTGACCGGAGCAAACCTTGAAAACTTGCTCGACAATGTCAATGAAGTTGTTCATGTGATAACTAAGACAAGGGAAGAAGAAGATGCTTTCGTAGCTACACCTCCTGTTTCAAATCCAAAGGCGACAATAGAAACTCCTATGGTGATAATATCAGGGATTCCTCCCGTTGATACTGATTCACCTACATCTATGTCAATGGAAGATGATCTCGCTACCATACAAGCCACTCCTCCTCCAAACAAGCAACGCATACTCGTTCTGAGACTAGCAAGTCAGAGAACGACGACTCAAGGTGCTACAGCTCCACCGACAATCACACATGTTATTGTCTCAGTCGAACCTATCAGTGAAGGTCCCAGTACTGTATTTGAAGCTGGTGGTTCCTCATTTCATGCAAACCTCTCTCCTCCCAGACCAGACAAAGATGATGCCTCGGTTAAGTTAGCCCGTCTACTGGCTGAAGAATAATTCTCTACACCACTTCCTCGTGGAAAAGGAATTTTCATTGGAGGTAACAACACAAGAGAAGAAACCCCTTCACTCCATGGACTCCAAAGTCAGATTGATGCTATCAATCGGAAGAATGTTGATCTTGACCAAAGGAATATAGATATAGTCATCAAGGTTGCAGACCTGCAATCTGAAAATATAGAGCTCAGTATCCAAGTGGCCAAGCTTCGCGAAGACAATATTCTGAAGACTAAGCAAATTGATGACATTCAGACAGAATATGGTCACTTGGCTGCCAACTTCCTGGAGTTACAAAAGAAACATGAAGACAAATTCGGTGATGAATTTAAGTCAACTGTTGAAGAACCACACGTTGATCCTCCCAATCCAGACGCTCCCAGTGTTGATGCTCATACTACCTCTCAACCAATCAGATCTCCCATCATTGTGGATCGCTTTGAAAAAGAACCTGAACAAGCTCCAAGGGCAGGTGCTTCAAAGAGTTCCAAAAAGAAGAAAAAGAAGGATGTTAGTAAATGGCTTTTCAAAAGAAGCATAGCTCATAAGGCACCCTGGGATCAGCCACGAATTACCCTTACCGATCATAGCAGTGAAACTTTCAGGGATGTCTATGGTGATAGGTCAGGAATCGTGTTGTGGGGATTCCATGACACGCAGAACATGTTTATGGTGAGAAGGAAGAGCGGGAATAAGGAACTATACAAGGATGCTCATGATTTTCACTCTTTTACTAAGGTTGACCTTATTGAGCTATCCAAGGCTCCCTTCTCAAATCCATTAGGAAATCCAAAAGCTAGTCAATTCAAGTTTTTCTTGGAAGATCAAGTGGCTAACGGTTTCCCATCTATGAAAACTGTTGAGTCTTTCATTGCAGTCCATAAAAATGTTATCGATGCAAAGATCAGTGAGCCTATTCGAGCAGTAATGTGGCCTGCTACTGCTCAAGTTAAGTATATCCC